TATTTTGATCCAATATAAACCTAATCGTGAGCATGCCATGACATCACACCCCTAGAGATTACTTAGAGATTACCCCAAGCCTGGAAATCTAGGGAAAATTTCAACGGAATTGAATTATTCACATCACATTTAAACAAAAGCAAAAAGTTATTTTACTGAAAAGAAAAATATTGGAGGAGAGGAAGCAGATGCTGTGAACATAGTGGCAACTTTTCAGTGACTTCTGCTGCAAAAAGGAGCAGAGAAACGGGGCAGCAGCTGGAGGGAGAAGTTGGGTCAAGAAGAACCATTTTATTATGGGAGATGTCACAGCATGTGTCTACGCTGATGGAAACGGGCTCATCTACACCGTCTTTCTTCCCTGTCTTTGCTCTTTCTATCCCCAGATCTCTGAAATCCTTCAGGGCTCAGCTCAGGTTCCCCTTCTTTCCTGAAGCCTCCTGAACTTCTCTGAGTCAGAAGCCGGGAGGACTCTCTTTTCCCCTCCCCATCCCTAACTCCCACAGCACCCTGTAAGGGTATTTATAATTTGAGTCTTATGATTATGAGTACAAGCTCCCTGAGAGCTGCTCCATATCCTGCCCATCTTGGAACCCACAGCCTCCCTACTCCTCATTTTCCACATGGGAATACACCTAGAATGGCTTGATCAATGTTTGTTGAATGACCAAGTGAACTGCAGGCAGCCAGATTTGTACAGGTTGGTCCAGGGACCTAGAAACAGCTATTTTATAAGTACTGTGTCTCGAACTCTTCCCTTGAAGTAGCCCTAGTAAGGTGAACGTTTACACAGGGTGGTCTGGGGAAATAGCTTGAATCACCTGGAAATTTCCTCGAAGGCACATGTTTTCTCTGAAAATTCCTAAAAATCTTATAACCTACTCTGATAAAACCCTGGGTTTTTCTTATTTCCATATAATACTGTAATTTTTGTTTATCATTTGTTATTCAATTTTCTGCCAAAAGTCTTGAAATAAAACTTACACTCCAGCAAGGGGCACACCAGCAGTTTGTGTGTCTCAGTTTGAGGATCTGATATAGGATTTGACACTGAAGTAGTTGCTTTACAAAATAGTGAGGGATTTGTGAGCCTGAAGATATTATGACAGTATTCTGCCTCTGATGGTGGAATGTTTTAATTGTAGGAGAGAATATATGGAACATTCATATCTACTTAATTTACAAGGGGCAATATTTTCTAGTTGGGTGGCATAATTTGATGATTAATAATAAAACAAAAGAAAGGGCTTTGGAGGCATGCAGGCCTGGGTTGGAATCTCGGTTATATGTCTTGTTCATTCTGACTTTATATGAAGTAAACTCTTGAGGCTCTAGTCTCCCACCTATAATATGGAGATGGGAAGAATAATATCGCCTGCATCCTTGGGTACCTCCTGTTGTGGGTACTGAGTGAGCCATAGCCCTTGGCACTGTGACTGCACATAGTAAGTGCTCAATAAATAAATAAGGGGGCCAGAGACTCAGACCAGCAAACAGGTGATCACAATCCACAGTGAGAAGTGCTGTGGTAGAGGGTACCCAGTCCTGTAGGAACCCCTGGGACATCAAGGAAGGCTTCCTGGAGGAAGTGACAACTAATTTGGCCAGTTGAAGGGGGGTGGAGGAGTCTTACAGGCAAAGAGAAGAATAGTGAGAGGGCTGAGATCACGGAGGGGAGGCAATGGTGAGAGATAATTATGGCTGATGATGGCAGGAGCAATGAGACCACGTAGAACCAGGCAGCCAGGAAAAAAAGTTTGTCTTTCACCCAGAGAGCAATGGAGGCCATGGAAGAGTTCTAAGCAGGGGAGCAACAGATCAGAAATGCAAGACTGGGGACAGGGAGACGGGGGAGGAGGTGAGAGTGGAGGCATTGGCCTGGAGATGGGGAAGATGGGCACATCTGTGAGCCATTTAGGAAGCAGTGATAAGGCTTGATTGAGTGGAGGTTGGTGGAAGGAGATGGCAGGATGATCCCCACAGGGTGCATGGTGGTGCCTTCCACCAAGACAGGGACAGAGAAGGAGCTGGGGCCAGGGACGGGGTACAAGATAGCGAGTTCAGTTTTGGACAAGTAGAGTCTGAGGTGTCTGTCTGTGAGATAACCTCATGAAGGCTGTGAAGCTGGAGAAGGGTCCAGGCTGGAGACAGAGCCTTGGAAGATGTGGCTGGTTGAATAACGGCCCTCAAAGATATCTAGGCCCTGGTCCCTGGAACCCATAAATGTTATTTTATATGGCAAAAGGAATTTTGCAGAAGTGATTAAGTTAAGGATGGGGAGATTAGCCTGGATTATCTGGGTGTGCCCTAAATGTAATCACAAATGTGGGTGGCCAAGGAGGGAGGGAGGCCAAGGGAGATTTGACCACAGAAAAGAAGACAATAGAACACAGAAACAAGATGCTCTTGAAGATGGAGGAAGTCGGTTGCCAAAGAATGTAAGGAAGCAGTACCTCCAGAACTGTAAGAGAATACACGTGTCGAATTAAAACATCAAATTTAAAGTAACTTGTCAGAGCAGCAATAGAAAACTAACACAGAAGACATCAACATTAATGGCATAAAAGAAGCTGGCGGGTTGGATGAAGGTGTCCAGGAAGCCTGAGTAGAGTGAGGAGAGCAGGTCCAGCAGAGAGCTCCCAATGCCTCCAGCACTTAAAATACCAGGGTTGTGTTTCACAGCATATTTGTCTTGCCTTCTCCACCAGATTATACACATTTTTTTCAACTTTCAATTCTGACACACAAGTAGTATATGCTTGTTACAGAAAAGTGAGTATATACGGATTAGCCAAAAGAAAAAAATTTTACTCATAATGTCCTCAGTTGGTAGTATTTTAATATACATCTTTTCAGGTTTGTTTTTCTTTCTATGCAAACTACATAATCCTCTCAATCACCCTATGGGGTAGAATACCATCGGGCCATTTTAAGAGGACGACATTCAGGCTTAGAGAAGCAAGCCATTTACCCAGCTGCACACAGCAGCACCGAGATTGGAACTTCGGTGTGTCTGACCCAAAGCCAGTGTTCTTCACCGCTGTGCTCCCCTGATTGCTTCACCTGAACGAGTCTTTTCCAGAGAATCTCAGGCTCCAGAACTAAGCTTAAGTGAGTTTCTATCCTGAACCCCATCCCTCATCCACCCAAGGATACAAGTGGTTCCCAAGAGGCAGAGGTTAGGGGGTGGGGAGGAGTGGCAGTCTTTAGCCTGGTGGGGATGGTGAGCGGGGTTGAAAGACCCCAGAGTGGGCCCAGGAAGAACGAAGACATGGGTGAGAGGGCCGGGTAAGGTGGAGCGGGTTACTGAGAGCCTATCAGGTACACGCACGTGTGAGGTTCTTTCCTCGCAACATCACAACCAAGTGGGCAACACACTTCCACTTCCCATTTTACACATAAGGAAACTCAGGTTCCAAGAAGGGATGTAATTTTCCCAAAATCACACAGCTACCCAAAAGCGCGGAGCCACAAAGTCCTCGGAGACGGACACGCGGCTGAGGGCGGACCCAAAGGGCGGTGGGCGGCCCTGGCCGCGCGCAAAGCCGAGGCTGAGAGCCGGGTGTGCGGAGCCAGGGAGACTGGGGCGATGAGGGCGGAGCGGGGCACGGAGACTGGCAGGGCTGCGGGCGGGGTGGGGGTCAGGCTGAAGGGGAGAGGTCATGCGGCTGGGAACGAATCGGTAGGAGAGGAAGAGGCAAGGCGCACTGAGGTGGGGCGCAGGGGTGTGGCACCCGGGCCGTGGGAGACGAGGGAGCGGGATGAAAGGGGGTGGAGCCGTGGGGGGGCCGAGAGCGGGGCGGGGCGAGGAAGCTTCGAGGGAGGCCGGAGATCGGGAGGTGGGCCAGGGGCGGAGCTCTCAGGGGCTGGGAGCCGGGGGCGGGGCCGAGGAGCCCAGAGAAGGGGGCGGGGCGGAGCTCTCAGGGGCTGGGAGCCGGGGGCGGGGCCGAGGAGCCCAGAGAAGGGGCCGGGGCGGAGCTCTCAGGGGCTCGGAGCCGAGGGGCGGGGCCGAGGGGGGGCCCGGAGAAGGGGCCGGGGCGGAGCTCTGAGGGGCTGGCAGCCGGGGGCGGGGCCGAGGAGCCCAGAGCAGGGGGCGGGGCGGAGCTCTCAGGGGCTGGAAGCCGCGGGGCGGGGCCGTGGGGCCCAGAGTAGGGGCTGAGGCGGGCGGTCCAGGCTAAGGTGCGGAGAGTGGCTGGAAGGCCGAGGCGGGGTGGGGACGCTCGGGGCTCCCGGCCGCGAGGG